GGGGATGGAGCCCCTGCGCCTGACCCGGAGTCGAACCACCATCCCCAAGGGAAAAGGGACTAGCCGGAAATCACGGGCACGAAAGAAACTTACAAAGGCAGGAATTATTAGTAAAAATTGTATATGCCTCCCCCCCCCCAAAAAAAAAAGAAACTCTGATCCTCATACTCACGCTGCAAATCCCACCTGGGGACAGCATCGCAAACACGTGGGTAAAACAGGCCGGAGGGGCAGCGGCAGGGATGGAAATACAGTTCTGCCCCTGCTCACTCACCTTTCTTTTCAGCAAGAAGCTACTGAATCTATAAAGAAAAGAGCTGAACGCGATGAAAACTCTGTAAGTTTCTAAGCGCTCTCTATAAAAAATGGGCCAAGAACTAAGATCGGCTCAAGAGATTCGTTTCAGACGCCGGGCTTCCACGATGACTGGGTGTCTGTGTTCAAACACGGGGTCAAAGCCTCCAGAATCCGGCCGGGAAGGCCGGGGTATACCCCCCGCACCGTTACCCGCCAGTTTAGGGGTTCGCTGCGCCGCCACCTCTCCCCTCGGCGCCCGCCTCTACTGCCGCCGGCCAGCACCAGGGCTCCAGGGCCGCGACCCGGATGAAAAACTTTCTTTGGAACAGGTCGGCGGGGGTCAGCGCCCGGAGCACGTCGGGAGTTGTAGTAGCGGCCGGTGGCGCGAGTGGGCGGGGCGCGTGCGGGGTCTGCGCAGGCGCGCTCTCCCGAGGGGTAACATGGCAGACGCGGCACCTCCGCCGAGCAAGAGGAAGCGCGAACTAACAGCCGGGGAGGCAGAAGCTTCCGGCACAGAGGACAAGAAAGCCAAAGTAGCCGGCGTTGGGAATGGCACCTCCGCCCCTGTCCGCCTTCCTTTCTCCGGCTTTAGGGTGGAAAAAGTGCTGCGGGAGTCCGCGCGGGACAAGATCCTGTTCCTGCACGGCAAGGTACCCTGGGCAGCCCTGGGCCGGGCGCGGGAGTGTGACGTTCCCGCCGGGGGGCGGGTCTTGTCGGCCTCGGCCCGGAAGTGCCGGTCGCGTTCCCGGCGGCGGGGGAGGAAGCGCGGCTCTGGAGTGCTTTGGGGGCGAGGGAGTGGAGGAGGCACGGTCGCCCGTGGAGTTAGGACTATTTAACCGACAGCTGATTTTCCAAATTCCTCCTTTGCTAGAAATAACCACGAACACCGGTAGGGTGTATGGCAGATTAAAAAATCACGTGTCAGATTCTCCAAGTCGTTCATCATTTTTTCATTCAACCTGTAGAAGGTGCTAGGAACCCGGTCAGATGTTGCTGGCCGCCTTTCTCCTCCGTGGCCCTGAGCAGCCACGACAAGAGACTGTAGGAGATTGGACCCCTGCTGTCCAGGACTCCAGCCCTGGCAGGGGAGACCGTTTGTTAAATTGGTAATTCGACTCCACGTGCCGCGCACTGACGGGCCAGCCCAGAGCGCTAGGTACCGGGGATGCAGAGGTGAAAGGTAGGTTCCCTGACCTGCAGCGTGCAGAGCATCGTGGGGAGCACGGACACACACAGCTGGCGCCAACACCGGGTGCTCGGCCCTCTCTCCAGGGGCTGGGGAGAGACTGGAGACCACCCCCTAACTGGTGAGGAGGCCCAGCCAAGGCAGGTACCAGGGCTCCCCAGAACTCTTAGAAGGAGCTCTCATTTTGGGAGGATCAGGACGGACCTGGTCGTAGGTGTCAGCGCTCCTCTCGTGTCTCTTGTTTTTTCACAAGGTTCTGTCTGGTCCTCTCAGCCCCATCTGTCTTCAGCCTGCAGCACCTGCTTAAGATTTTAGCCATGAGAACATTTAAGCCCGCAGTTAGTTGGGATACCCAGATTCTAGTTTCTTTTTCAGTATTGACTGTTCATGTGACTCTGTGCAAGTCACTTAATCTCTCTAGACCTCCTTCATCTGTAAAATGGGGAGACATAAAAAGAATTTTTTTAAATATGTTTTTTTATTGATTTTTTTAGAGAGAGGAAGGGAGAGGGATAGAGAGATAGAAACATTGATGAGAGAGAAACATCATCCATCGGCTGCCCCCTGCACATCCCCTACTAGGGGTCAGCGGGAAGCCTGGGCATGTGCCCTGACCAGAATCAAATTGTGACCTCTTGGTTCATGAGTTGACACTCTACCACTGAGCCACACTGGCCAGGCAAAATGGGGAGAATTTAACAGAGGCCTTGTGAGCTTAAAATTGAAAACAACTGAGAAGCTTTGCATCTTTTAGAAGAAAGGACTGAGGTTAATGATTTCTCCTCTGGAAGGAGAAACAGTGTCATTGGCTAGACTTGCACAGAGGGAAACTACAGGGAAGGAAGTCTCAAATGTTGGGAATTCTGAGACCCTCGGGAGTTTCTGCCTCTGTTCTCCAGGCCTCACCTGTGTCTCTGCCGACAGGTGAATGAGTCCTCTGGGGATGGAGAGGATGCCATTGTGATCCTGGAGAAGACACCGTTTCAGGTGGAACAGGTGGCCCAGCTCCTCACGAGCAGCCCTGAGCTCCAGTTGCAGTTCTCCAATGATATATACAGCACCTATCACATGTTTCCTCCAAGGCAGCTGAGTGGTGAGCAAGTGGTGCCTGAAGTGGCTGCTTGTGGGGAGGGTGGGATGGTGGGAAATTGGGGAGGGGGTGGCAAATCCATAACTGATTTGCATATTCTAGTGCAATAGTTCTCAGTGGAAGGAAGAGGGGATTTTGCTCCTCAGGAGACATTTGGCAATCTCAGAAGACAATTTTTGGTTGTCAGAAATGGGGAGGCACTTGGAGGGTAGAGGCCAGGGATGCTGCTAAATATCCTATAAAATGCAGGATGGGCCCCCACAAGAAGAAAGGGCAGTAGTGCCAAGGTTGAGAATCCCCGCTCTGGTGTAGTCTCTTTTGAGGAGGGAGTGTGATTCATGGGAGAGAACAGGTTCATCTACTAACTGAATAATAATGATTGTCAACACTAAATTCTTACTATTGTGCTAGACACCATTTTAAGTGCTCTGCTTGTATTATCTTATTTTATCCTCAAAATAGCCTTATTGTGATAGGACTTTACAGGTGAGGGGACTGAGGTTTTTGTTTTGTTTTGTTTTAAATATGGTTTTATTGATTTCAGAGAGAGGAAGGGAGAGGGAGAGAGAGAAACGTGAATGATGAGAGTTATTGATAGGTTACCTTCTGCATCCCCCCTGCTGGGGATCGAGCCCAAAACCTGGGCATGTGCCCTGACCTGGAATTGAACCCTGACCTCCTTGTTCGTAGGTCAACACTCAACCACTGAGCCATGCCGGTGATTGAGCAACTTGGCCAACCAAGATCACACAGTCAATAGGCAGCAGGAACGCAGATCTTCCAGTAGACGAGGACTTGCTCACCACACTTCTGTGAAATGAGCAGTGTGCTGGGTGCTATAAAGATCAGTTACTTCCCTGAAGGAACTCGCTTCCTAGTAGGGGAGACAGTGTGATTGAGAGAGATGGACTTGAGAAGCGCAGGAATTCAAGGGTTAAAAGACAGAGACTTGGTGTTTTTTTATTTGTTTAATTATTATTATTTAGAGAAATAGAGAGAGAAACATTGATGTGAGAGAAAAACATCGATTGGTTGCCTCCTGTACTCGCCCTCATGGGAGATCAAACCTGAAATGTGGGTATGTGCCCTGACCAGGAATTGAACCTGCCACATTTTGGTGTACGGGACAGTTCTCCAGCCAACTGAGCCACACCGGCCAGGGCCAGAGATTTATTTTTGATTGCAAGTATTCTTTAATTTATTCAAAAGAGGAAGAAGAAGAATATCCCATGCCAAAGCCAGGCATGATGTGAGCTTTTTTCCTCTGGATAGTTGGATTTGGTAGGCAGCTTTGTTGGAAGTGTGAGGGAGACTGGTTGACCTTGAAGGTCCCTTTCAACCAGGAAATTCTGGGATCTGCTCTGCAGCACATATGCTTCTGCCTTTGTACTTTTCTTCTGTCATTTAAGAACAATTCAGCTTTACGGATATCCTTCCACAGCCTTTCTGATCGATTCAGTCTCTTCCGCACCCCCAAGAAAGGGGCCTTTGTTGCCCTTTGGAAATATACGTGACTACTTGGTGTGAGACAAGCAAAGCTTTCACAACTGCAAGCAAAACAGCCTGGTCCTCCATTGAAAGGGAGCCAGATTGATTGGTTCGACTTGACAGAAATGGACGGCTGTATTTACTTTCTCAGGCGGTGACATTTAAACAAATGTATTCTCCGACACAAAGAGGCAGAAGCATGACAGAAGGCACTGTAGCCAAATAGCACCTGAGGCAGCCCCAGACATGCTTGGGGCTTTTATTCTGCTTTCACCCCTTTCCCTCGCCTCCCTGCCTCCCTCTACCCACCCTCCCCATCCTCAGCCAAAATGAAGGTTCTCCACAGAGCAACTGTGTAGAATTCACGACCTTTTCTTATTTTATTTTTCCCGCACTTTTCTGGTACTGCACACAAGGGATGGAGGCCGCTCCCTATCTTTCTCTTCGTTGGTTTTTCCCCCTGAGATAAGTACTGAACGAGCCAGTACTATAATGAACGCCTCCCGACATCTCCATTTGGAAGTCTCATAAGTACCACATAGATAAAATATGAGACTCAGATGAGCAAATGTATCTGAAAGTACTTAGCACATGTTAAATAGTAGCTGCCATTGTTATTCTGATGTGCTGGGCCCTCCGCTGGGTGCTGGAGCTTCAGAGGTGAATAAGCCACTGTCTGTGTCTTCACGGTCTTGTTATGAAAAGAGGGGAGTAAGCTCAACAGGGTTTGGTCATTGCGTGGGTGTAGGGAACAGAGGTCTTTGAAAGCTGGAACCTGTCAGACCCGTTTCCGGTCCCCAGCAGCCAGCCCCGTATTAGGTGCTCAATAAGTGGCTGCTGAAGAGCAAAGCCACAAGCTGGCTGTGTTCTTTCCTGTGGGCCAGGCGTTTGGCAGCCACGAGGTGGCAGCATTGTCAAAGTATTCCTGTAGCCTGCTCCTTTGACCTCCGAGCCAGAGCCTTTCAGTCCTGCCGCTCTGATTTCATTCTCGGAGTCACCAACTCTTAACACTGCCAGGAGGGACCTTAAAACGTGGTTCCTGCAGCCTCAGCTGTCTGAGCCCCCTGCACAGTGCTCCCTGAATTTTTCTGCTTTCTCCAGCTGTTTCTCTAGCTGGAGAAACAGGGGGAGCTTATCTGGGGGAGCTTCCCTCAACCCCCCATTTCTGAGCTGGTTGATCTCCTTATTTCTTCCAGTACTTCTCTGGTCATTGGCAAATTTCTCCTGTAACCTGAAGGTTTTGCAGTCTTCTCATTTATCACTTCGAAATCTCAGCTGACCACGAGAGGCTACTCGCCACTCCATTAGCATAGTAGACCTTGGGCATCAGAGTTAGACACGCTCAGGCCCTGTCCTAGCACTAGCACTTGCTAGTGGTGTGACCTGAGACAATGTGCTGTTTGAGTTTTAGTGTAGTGCAGGAGTTAAGAGTAAGCCTCGAACCCTGGCCGGTATGGCTCGGTTGGGCGTTGTTTAGTGCACTGAAAGGTTTCCCGTTCCATTCCCTGTCAGGGCACATGCCAGGGTTGTGGGCTTGATTCCCAATTGGGGGCATGCAGGAGGCAGCTGATCCATGTTTCACTTTCACATCGATGTTTCTCTCTCTCCCTCTTCCTTCTCTCTAAAAATCAATTTAAAAAACCTTAAAAAAAAAAAAAGAGCAAGCCTCGGGTCAATCATAGCTGGGCTGGAATTCTGGCTTTGCCATTTACTAACTGAATTGGGAAGTTTCTGTGCTCATTTAATAAAGATGAAGTGCTTGCCCCATGCCAGGTGCTGTGCTGGATGCTCTGTGCATTGGGAGTACATCAGATAGACAGCCAACCAGAAAACAGAGGTCTCTGTGGCCCTGAACAGGAGGGCTGCATGGGCTGGACATCCAGGAGGCCTCTGTGGAGATGCCACCCACGCTGAGACCCAAAGGATGGGGAGGGACCAGCTGTGCAGAGCGCTGGTGGGGGGTGAGGAGAATGCCCTGGGGGAGGAGAGAGAAATAGAAATGAGGCCGCTTCGTTGGGACCTTGGAGGGGCAGTTGGTGGCCATGGTGTGTGGCACAGATGAATTTGGGGAAGTAGCTATTAAATTTGATTAGCAACTGAACATACCTCAGGATGATTACGACATAAATAAGAAAGATACCTATTTTTTAACCTCTGCCCACAGTGAGAAATACATTTTACAGTGTGACCCAGTACCTGTGAATAAATACATAGGTGTGCAAAACAATCCCACTCTTACTTTGTGGGATACTCTCTAGTGTTCTAACTTAATTCCAGTCTTGTGTGTTTTCTTGGAAATGCTGGTCATAACCTAAATTAATTTCATCACCAGCCTCATGAGTTAGGACCCAGCGAGAGAAGGTGTATAAAGCTCTTAGCACAGTGGCGGGCACACAGTGTGTATTCGATGTGTTAACCCTTTTCTGTTATTGTTACCCCTTTACAATTCAATGAGCCTTAAGTGGAACAATATATATGTATAACACATGGGAAAATGCCAGGCCCTGACCACAGGCAGGTTTCCTTTCTTCCCCCTGCGGCCATGTGGCCACTGTGAGGATGGGTGGGCCAGACTTAGTGCTGCCTCTGGCCAGCAGGCAGGGCAGAGGCTGGATCACCTCCTCCTGCTGCTCCAGCTCTCACACTGTCACGCCCCAGGCCTATCAATGGAGCCCTTTCATTGAGATCTCTGCTCTCTCTTACCTGGGAAGAAGGGGGGAGATACTAGGGAGAGGGATGTGACTCAGAAATCCAGACTGCGTCTAAAAAGGCCAATTGTTTTCCTGGTGTGGAGCAGGGGTGTGGAATCTCAGGTTCAGAGGAGCAGAAGGCATTTGTTTGAGTGAGGCCAGGGCAGGAGCAGAGGAACCCTGGGAACCGCATCATCTTTTGGTTGCAGAGAACTCCCAGGACTTGAGCTACACGTAGGGATTTCCTCCCTGTGCTCTTCGCAGAGGCGAAGCCTGTACCTCTTGAGTTTAGAGTGAGGACTTGTTTGGGAGGAGCATTTTAAAAGACTAACTTTTCCTGTAAGAGTTTACCTGGCAGCCTTGTTCATGATAGAAAAAAAAAACCTAGAAAAAACCTGGACATTGGCTCAGAATAGAATAGATAGATAAATCGAGATGTTTTCTATCTTGGCTATCTGGGCTGCTTCTCCGTTGCAGTGAAAATGAATGAACCACAGGAAAAGCAAGACACAAAATACGTACAGTGTGACTCCAGATAAAGCTGAAAAGCAAGCAGAACTAAACATGTACTGCTTAGGGTGCATGCATACATAAGAAAACCAGGAAGGCAAAAGACAAGATTTCTTAACACCTTGTTCAGCAACATGCTCATCTCTGGGGGGCGGGGCAGAAAGGACATCAGAAGTCCTGATAATGTTCTCTCTTGGACAGTATGCTCCATGCGTGTTTTTTGGTTTTTGTTTTTTAATATGGTTTTATTGACTTCAAAGAGAGGGAAGGAGAGGGAGAGAGTGATAGAAACATCAATGATGAGAGAGTTATTGA